ATCTTAGACCTTGTAGTTGCAGCATAAGGTTACAAAGAGGCAGAAATCTGAGGTTGGATAAGGAGAGAGGTGGATAAGGTAAGACTTTCAATTGCCCACAAACAAATCACTTCAGCTTTCAATGAAGGATTTATTTTCTTACACTCTTCTAGTCTTGCTCAGGTGTGAAGCATCTCAATGTTGCTCCTACCTCCATTATCCCTCGTGTACCATTGCTACCCTCTCAATACTGACAACTTGAACAAGTTTTGAGGGTGCCTGCATTAATGTTCCTTGAAACATCATTAAAACTCTTTAGATGATTAGAGATGATGTTTTATCAAGACTCCCTAACTTGCAAAGAAAATCCCCCTCCAGAACTTGCTCTTCAACCTGGAAAGGGGCTCTGAGGAGGGACCAAATGCTCAGGACCATGCTCTTCATGTGCATTTAGATATACCATACTTATTGCTTGGATAGGCTTTGTTCTTCCTCTCCTCTTATTACACTTCTGCTCTTTCATCTGCTCCTGTCAATGGATGCACCTTGATCTTCAGCAAGCCTCCGCTGTGAAGCCAGTCTTATCCGCCAACTGCTCCTGCATACTCACCCTGCACATTGCGTACTACAATCTTATATCCTGTGGCTCCTTGGACTCCCAGCCAGGATAGTCGGACTCTGCTTCCTATGGTCTCAACGATCCTCAAGTTGGAGATGCTTCCCACTGAAGGTGCCACCCCTGAAAGAGAAATTTTGGCATGAAGTCAGCAAAGCCAGTGTGAACCAAAAGCCTCAGCCAGGAATGTGACTGGCTGAATCAAAGGGAGCATGAATTTCCTCTTTACTCACCTGTCTCTGAGATGGTAACTGGGGTTGCTACTTCTTTTCCATCATACAGAGTGTAGAGGGTGATGTGATATTCAGTGCCTGGCTGTAGGCCAGTCAGAGTGTAGCTGTTCTCATTGGTGGGAAGAGAGACAGTCCTGGGAGAATCCACCCCTTGAGATCAACACAAGGTGGAAATTAGCACTGATCTTTATGAATTCTGAAACAAACAGGCATAATCCCCACCTCTCATTATTGTGACATAAAGACTAGAATGAAGCTATTGCCTATTTTTCAATTCTCTTCAACGTTCAGGCACAATCATGGTTCATTCCCCCCCAAATATATCAAAAGCCATTATGATGCATACTCTGAGATAAAATTGTTTTAAAATCTGTATTTTAAGGAGGAAACATTTAAATGCAGATTTCTTTTTTAAAAATTAACGCTATTTATAATTTAGTACCAAAATGAAACATAACAAACTAAATGAAATGTTTGGGAGTAACATAGACCAGAAATAGCCCAACTCAGTCACATTTACCACTCAGACCCAGGTCACCAAATTCCATCAAATCTTGCAACAACCATTCTCTTTAAGCCAACATTCCTGTTACTTCTGGCTGTCTTAGATGAGGTGACGGAATTATAACAACACATGGTGGAGGACACCAGGTCAGAGAAGCTAAAACTTACTCTCAAGAGAAAAGGAGAGCTGTATGTTGTATAGAAACATTTCAGAAAGGATACCCTAGAAATATCTGGAACTGACTGGGAAAGGAACAGATTCTCTATACCACATCTATAGGAATCCACCATCCCAGTAACCTCCCTGCCACTCATTACAGAAATTTAGCCAGCCTACCTGTGGCTTTTCTCCACTCCAGACGATAGCCCCGAGCATTAGGGATGATGTTCCAGGCCACCTTAATTGATGTTGGGTCAACAGCAATAGTCCTAAGAATCTGGGCTATTTCTAAACAGAACAAAAATAAATTGTAAAACTGTGAACTATTAAGAAAATTCTAATAGCCTCTCAGTTATTACAGTCTTTGGATCCAAGCTTTATCACTATAGGACAAGTTTATTCAAAGAAGAAAAAAAGGCAATTTGTATCAAAATTCACCATTATAGGAAGTCCCAGCATTTTTTCTAAAGATGGACTTTAGCTGGGCTACATAAATGACATTCATATATTGACCTGAACATACCTAGACATTTCTCTGTCTCAACTACAATGACCTTGTAATATATATTACATTTTCTCTCCCCACTTGAATACATGATAGAGAGGTACACCATATTTAAACTTGAATCAGAACACTTCCCTAAACCAATTTTCATGTTTGATACCTTAATATTTAACTTAGTTATCATGCTGTAAACCAGCTTATAAATGGAATGCTAACAATTATGCCAGAAGACTTATCTTACCTGCAGTAATAATAATTATAGTAGCAGCAAAAGTAGTACTAATTGTACTACTAATACCAGTAACAACAAAAATAATCATCAGCAAGTGCATGTACCTGTTCTCCTCCTAATGGAGGCCTTGGGACCTTCTATTTGTCCATAGATTGGAGCAACAGATACTAGGTAATCAATGTTAGGCTGCAGTCCAGTCAACATATAAGAATTTTTGCTAGCATCCACATCAGCTTTTTGGCTATCCTGACCTAAAAAATTATAAAATACAAGGCAAAATGAAAGAAAGTTGTCAGCCATTATTCATACTGAACATGCATCTGTGTATTACATGACCACATGGTGAGTTGCCGATGGCTATATTAAATGGCCCATACACTACAGTTATTTGGCCTACAGAGAAAAATACAAGGCTATTATGATAGCCAGCACAGCAAAAAATACAGGCTGAGAACATATATCATATCAAGCCAACAAGTTGACATGTTGCTTAAATTCAACTTGAATAAACCATAATTGACTGGATTCATATAGGAGTCTAAGCCTTACATCATACTTTAAAAGTAGTACAGTTGGTACTCACAGCATGCTAGTTCAGAACCAAATTGACACACATATCACACTTTGCATGATATATGACCCTAGCCTCAATATAGCAATCAGAAGAACAGCACATAGTAGGTAAAATAGCAGCAACAGTCTGCAATGAGAGTGATTAATGCCCAATACAGGTGGTCATAGCTGCACATCACTTTCACAGTTAGAAGCAATTATATAAAGTTGAAAAAAAGATGTTCCAAAGAGCTATTTTCAGTTTATATTTAATTGTATCCATCCTATCATTCCTAAATGGGCTTATTATCATGTTTTATTCTTCCAGTAATTTGCTCTGCAACTGAACAGAGCTTTAAATTCAGACCTCTCTATTTCACATCCAACACTCCATCAATGATGTGAAAACAGCTGTCACTACAGCATGGAATGTCTACAGTCAGTACATAGAATGAAAGACTGGAAAATTGGAACACATCTGAGAAGTAACAGATTCTCCAGGTCATTACTAATTATCTTCTTTATGTAATGTGATGAGAGACCAGTAGTGATATCTCCTGTAGACATTGTCATTGCATGATAAAGTATCTCTTTAGATGTAATAGATTTTTAATATTACTCCTATCTTCTTAATCTATTAATTCTAGAGAATACTCTAAATAAGGGAGTTAATTACTAAACTTCTTACAAAATATCACAAGGATTTGGACAGCTTACCGAAACATTTATAGTGCTAGTCCACCACTTTCAAGTTTTGAACTGTGGATGGGCATCATCACAACTCCATCCAAGACTCATAACCAGTTCTTTATTGGACTTTCCTCATGCATGTAAATAAGCTTGTGCATTAAAAGGGTTGAATAGATTAACTTCCCATCAAAACCAAGAAATACAGAGCTGATTTAGATAGATAGACAGATAGATAGACAGATAGATAGACAGATAGATAGATAGATAGATAGATAGATAGATAGACAGACAGACAGACAGACAGACAGACAGACAGTTATTTCTGGACAAACCAATAACTTAATTACATAGCAGCCTATTTAGAAATTATTGTAAAAATAAACTTAGGTTGGAAAATCACGTATATCAGGACTATCTCCCCTCTAGAAGAAATCTTATACTAATCCATCATATATAAATAGTGTGTGTATGTGTGCATATCTTTTTAATATTGTAAGGGTATAATGCTAAATACACTTTTTAAAGAGAAACTATTGCTTCATATAGTTTGTGCCTTTCTATATGCAAGTGTGTGTATGTGTTTGTGTGTATGTGTGTACCTGTTTGTGTAGTATTATAATGCTAATTAGGGCTTGAGTCAAGCTACTTTTAAGCTTTGTTCAGATCTACTGCGGATTTATATTTGCCATCAAACACTCCTGTTTCCACTATTTTCTCATTGTAACAACTAGTAAAAAATAGATGTCTAATTAAAGAAGAATTTATCTTGTTATTCAGAATGGAAGTTTTGATACCTTGAAAATCATCTCCAGGGTGTGGACTGGGAAGTATAATTAATGCTAAGTTTTCATTCAAGGTCTGAATAGTCAAGAGGGTCTTACTCAGAACATGAGAAGAATGCCTACATAACATCTTGAATCAATCAAGTGGTCTATGATATTATACTTATTGAACTGATTGATCATACAGTACTCTTAAGCATCATGGCACTGGAACAAAGAGTACCAGTGAACAAACATACCTGAGAGGAGTCCCCAGGTAACACGGTATGCAGTAACTCCACTCACACCCCTCCAGATCACCAGCATCCCGTGGGAGGAGATGTTCTGGGCACTCAGCTGTTGTACCCCTGCCAAGTTCACTAAGGATTGAGAAAGAAAAATCAACAGAGATGAGCAGAAGGATGTTTCAACTAGCTATTTATCAATAATCCTAGAACCCAGATCCTGGCAAGCCATACCTTCTCACAGAATTCATACATTTAAACAGTTATACTTCAACTTAGTGAAAGGCAAAGGTATGATTTCCCTATTTAAGTTATGAAGTTATGGATGTTTTTATCTATGTACTAGTCAATAATACCCACAATTAGTATCTTGTTTAGACTATAAAAACCACTAAAAGTGATCTGGATAAAGGCAAAAGAGTCCCAATCCTGGCACCTCACACTTCTCAAATCCTATTTCATGTATAAAATATCAGTTAAACATGGGAAAGTCCATAGCTCCTTAGGCACATAATCAGGGCTGGATTTAACAGGCAATTTAGATTACAGGTAGTCCTTGGGTTATGACCACTCGTTCAGTGACCGTTCAAAGTTATGATGGCACTGAATGAGGAGGACTTATGACCAGTCCTTGAAGTTGCAGCTGTCGCAGCATCCCTATGGTCACATGATCGTGATTCTGACACTTGGCAACCAGCTCACAATTAAACAGTTGGAGCATCCCATAGTCACGTGATTGCCATTTGTTGCCTTCTCTGCTGACTTCCAACAAGCAAAGTTAATGGGGAAGCTAGCAGGAAGTTGTGAGTTGCTCCTGCAAGTCTCTCCCGCTCCCACTGCTTTTTCGCCTGCCTGCCCACCTGCACTCTGTAGTGCCTGCCTGTGGCACCTGCCCACTCACACTCTGTAGTGCTTGCCCATGGTACCTGCCTGCGCTCCATAGTGCCCACCCACGATACCCACCTGCCTGTGCTCCATAGTGCCTGCCCACGGCACCCACCCGCCCACAGCACCTGCCTGCCCTCCCACGCTTTGTAGCACCTGCCCACGCTAATCAAAGGAACAAGGCCCTGCTTTCTTAATTCAGGTGATGCTTACACGTTCGGCTATGAACTACAGCAGGCACTATTGTATGATGTGGGAAGATTGGATACAATGTGATCACATAGTCAGTGTTAGGTCGAAGGTTGCTGAGCAAGAATGAAGTAGCACTAGCACCAAGGTTCACTTCTTCAGCTTGCGCTTCACCTTTCAGGAGGAAAAACAAAGAGAATGTACGAAATGTACATCAGAAAGGTATGGGAGATATATAGGATTACTGGATGGTGCTACTTCCTTAAGAATATTCATAAAATTACAGCTCAAATTCTTATTGGGACTTCATTCTTGATTTCTTAACCCTGAAATTTAAAGACCAAAATACATCACTAATTCAGGAAAGCAAAATTATTCATAAATAAGGGTATTTTCTTTTAAAGCAGTCTTCCCCAACCTTGCGTCTTCCACAAGGATTGCTATTCCAGCATTCTGGGGAATGCAGTTCCAACGCTTCAGGACATCAGGAGACTGAGGAAGAGTGCCCTGAAACAAAGCATCTGTCTCTGTTTGGAGTTGTACTTTGAACTCTCGGCAGGCCATGAACCATAAGAGTCTTGCCGCAAGGTCAAAAGATACCAGGCATACACAGGGAAATTTATTTTTTTATGTTGAGGGCCCCATTTCCTCAAGTGTAATAGACTAAGGAGAGTCAATTTGGTGTAGTGGTGTAGAAACCAGGAGACCATGAGTTCTAGTCCTGCCTTATGCACAAAGCCAGCTGGGTGACCTTGGGTCAGTCACACTCTCTCAGCCCTCGGAAGGAGGCAAGGACAAACTGCTTCAGAAAAACCTTGCCAAGAAAACTGCAGGGACTTGTCCAGGCAGTCACCAAGAGTCAACACTGACTCGAAGGAACACACACACACAATTGGCTAGGAGTCACATGGTGGATCCAAAGAAACAACTTAGTATAGCCAGCGCCAAAAGCGAGGGAGGATGTTCATTCTCTTGCTAGTCCTCCTCCTCTTAATCTTTCTGATTCAGTTTTCCTCTTTCTCTAATTTTCTTTCCTTCTGATATTCTCTTCTGTCTTTCCCAGGCAGCAGATTGAAGGGATGAGACAGAGTACTTAACAGTAGTCTAAACTGATCCCTTCTGGGAGCTTTAGAAATTAAGGCACTTGCTATATGGGGTTAGGCTGAAGGCTGTATGTGGTCCTAGGACTGAAAGTTGCCCACACTGCCTTGTAATACAGTGGCTATAGGAGTCCAGCATACATGTTTTTCTGGACTGGGCTTATTGATCCCATGTATATCTCCATCCTCTATTTCAGAGTATTTAGTACTGCACGGAATGCATATCTCTAGCTGCTGAGCCAGGAGCTGAGACCATTTTAGCATGTCTAAAGTGGATAAGAACTATGTAGATAGCATTGACCAACAATGGCAGTGACAGCTACAGGACCCTTTTTTGTACAGGCTTTCTTGCTGGTTGTGTCACACCAAGCAAAGCAGCAAGCAAAAGCAACAGTTGGCGGTGCTGATCTCATCAACATTTATTTTGGTGCCCACGGGGCCAGAATTCTCTGCTAGGCAGATGAATTCCCTTGGCAGCAGGTGTGGCCAGACACTGGGTGAGGCCCTGGGAGAGTTGCCAGGGCTATAAGCACTAGAATGGCTGCAGGCTGGGGCGAGGCAGCTCCAGGTGCAGCTTCTGACAAGCACATCACAACAAGTAGTAGGTGAATATTCCAGTAGGGTCCACGTCCCCAAGCCTGGACTTCCTTGCTTAGCAAACCCTGAATTCTGGCAACATCTACCTAGCTGCATACAGCAGTTAGAGTGATGCTCAGGAGCAGTTGGGGCTGGGCACAAAGCTACCCTCTCCCCACCTCAATTTGTTCTTTTAAAAAAGCTGCCTGGCTACTCAGAGCAATCTTCAACAAAGAAGAGCGGTTGCAGGACTGGAATGTACAGCGTTGTTGTCTTCTTCCCAGACATCATGCTTCCTTCTGCCGAAGGACTCATTTTTCTGCTAAGGAAACATGGCAATTCCTGTTTTCCCCACACCCACTAAATGAGGAGATGGAGAATTACTGATGGGGTTAAGGGGAAGCTACAGTACCAGCCATGTCCTTCCTGTTCCAGTTCAGTTCCAATACTCCCTGAAGCAACTGGATTGATCACTTTTTGAGTAGAGAATCTTTCTGATACTTCTAACCCCAAAGCGTCATCCCTGTCAAGCTTTGCACTGACCCCTGGCCACATAAGTGAGCCTGTAGCCTTGTAGGGCTTCATTCAGATCAGCTGCCCAGGACAGTCTGAGGAAGAATGGTCCTGTTTCTGACACCCGAAAATTTGTCACTCCAGACAGGATCTCTGTAAAGGAAACAAAGAATTGGTTTACGTTCTTCCTTCATGTGAGTCCCAGACACATTGTGTTAAGAGAGGACTCTGTGGAGTCATTTTCACTTATGGTGGAACAAGCTACATGAGCAGAATGGCAAAGCCATCTCCAGCCAGGCTCCCTTTAGAGCTCCAGGAATACAACTCCTGTATCCCAACCATCAGGCTGCCTGGAACAAATGAAAGCTGCAGCCCCAACACTCTGGAGGGACCACGGTTGCAATAAACTGCATTATACAGTTATGCAGTCAACTCATTTGAAAATGACACTGGATAATGAAAAAGCTGTAGCTGTTACGAAAAGGGTATTACAGATCACCCTTTCTTCCTAACTTCAGAAAGTGGAAACTAAAAATGGGTCCAGATGAGATACACGTAAGAAAAGGCAGTCCTTAGGCACAAGGTCCAAAGCTATATAGGGCTCTAAAGATCAATCCCAGGACTTTGACTAATACGTAAGACGGACCCCTAGTCAGTGCAGTGGTTTCAAAACACATATGAAGTGTTTCTTGGGGTCAACCCAACAGCAGCATAGCTGTGATATTCTGAAGTAGCCACACTGGGGGAAAATGTTCTGATGGGAATGGCATACATTGTATGAAGAATTAATACATTACAGTACTTTCTAATATGAAGTCACTTTTGAGCAGAGCACAATTCCTGATGATGTACATGGACACATATATCCAGGTTTCTTGGCATGATACCTAAATAAAGACATCTCCAAAGGTAATATAATGACCTGCAGGAATGTACCAGGCAGGTGCCCAGGGTGTGGACAAATGCAGCCAAACTCTAGAAAGAGAGAGAATGAGTGCCAACCTGCCTTGTCCAATGCATCTTGGAGGTTATTTGGGACTCCTGTGCCACAATTACCTTGAGGAAGAGAGCTTAAACTCCTGCATTACCAAGGTTGCCCAGATCCAAATTCATGACAATCTCAAACTTTTTATTATGCTTTTACTGAGCTTCTCAGAAGATAGCCATCAACTTCTTCAAACAAAGCTCTATTCACCAGCTCTCTGACTCTGCAATCAAAAAACTGTGGCTATGTCCTGGACTACAATATCACACAGAAAGCACAAAAGAGAATCTGTAAATTCTAAGTATTATTACATGATAGGACTACACAGACATTTTGCACCCAGAGAAACACAAACAGCAAGCTTTCCTCAACCTGATGGCCTCCAGTTGAGGATCATAGGAGTTTATGCCCAAGAAATCTGGAGGGCACCAAAATCTGGATCACCTTTGGGAGGAATTTTATCAGGAAATGTCAAAGAAGTTACAGAATCAAAGACAGGCTTATTACTCACGAGTCCGTCCTTTGCCAGAAACCGATTCTCCAACGCGGTTGGCGTACTGAGCTATAACGATGACCAAGTAATCTGTCCCACTTTTCAAGCCACGAAGTACAGTGCTTGTCTCACCAGATCCCAAACTGACCTATTCAGTATCCAGAATGGATCTGTTATCACGCATTAATTGCTGCCACATCCAGTCACATGTGAAAATAGCATCTGTATGAATTTACATTCTACTATTTCTGTAATTTCTCAATTTTTTTAAGTGCTTAAAGAGGGACAAGCACTTAATTTCTACCTCTATACTACTTTCCTGATATAAATTCCTCACTACTAAAGCCAATTAATTCTACTAAGAATAAATAAAGTACCCTTTTGTCATAACTGCTTTATTTCTTTATGAAAACAAAAGATCCATATATTTCAACCCTTACTTACAATATTTATTAGAAGGATATAGGGGATGTTAAAGACTAAAAGAAAATACAGTATCCTGAATCTCCTGTTCTAGGCAAATTAAAAAAAAAAACACTTTACACGTCTTAAGTTTACCCCACATTCCTTGCAAATCATCTAACACATCTTACATATACTGCTTGCAAATCAAGCTATATGTTCACCTTGCATTCCTTGCACTAAACTGTTGATCTCAATTTATTAGATGGAGGTATTGTTTCAATGGACCTTGCCCAGAATGATTGAAGCAGGCCAACCCCCTGCTTCATTGTAAGATTGAGAAAGATGGATGCACCTATTTACTAGAGTAGGAAAGTGAGACATAAATCCTCTGTACCCCCCCCCACACACACACATAAACATCCATACATGCACACACACACCATTACAGAATGTAATCACCCAGCTATTATCTAAATTTGTCAACATACCACTTCCCAAGATAGTCTCTTCTATTGTCAAATACTTGTCACACACACACACACACACACACACACAAATAAGAAAATGATAGCTCTGCTATACAGCCAAAAGGACTTTAACTAAGAACTGGATGATGTTCAGGGGAATCTGATGGGGGTGACTGACTCAAGAAATAAGCTACATTCTTTAAAAGATGAAGTTGTGAGACAACTCTCTTAGAATGCAAGGAAAAGCAAAGAGGACACTGGACCTTTCATCCTTTTTTATAAACATAAATTCAGTATTGATATGTCAAATATAACAAACAACTAAGTGATCACAAAAGAGCACTTTGAAATGGGCTGGTCTGAAAACAGACACAGTTGGTTAGTGTTTATGTTGTTGTTTTAATTTGGAGGGGGAACACCATTAATATAGCCTGACCTTGATAATGTACCCTCAGCCCCTTTTCAGACCAATAAGGGCTTTATCCCTGCACTAGATATGTGCATAATATTCTATTCCAGGAATTGTTCCCCCCAGAACACCACAAACCACTTCCTGTTCCAGAAATTTCACTTCTGGAAAACTGCTATATCAGCCCCAGAATGGGTTGGCTGATGTGGTCTTGGAGGGAAAACAGGACAATTTGGAATTCCCCAGAAATTAATGTTTTGCACATATATATCTGGCAAATTAAAACTGCTCTTCTGTTTTATAGCTGAATATAGCTAAATTTACTTCTGAGAAAACATGAGTGGGATTGCGCTGTAAAAAGTACTCACCTCCTGCCTCTCTGACATGATTTGTTGCCCCAGGCCAGTCAAAGGCACATACTGAACTTTATATCCAGTTACAGGACCACCAGCTGCTGTCCAACGGATCCTTAGCATGTCTGTTCCTTGTTCCATGAAGACCAGGTTGGAGGGACCACTGTAGACCTGTGTACCTTAGGAAGGAAAAAAAAAAATAGGGTAGCATAAATCAGGTTCCTTGCTGACAGATACCATTCCAAACAGCTCTGGACATGGAAAGGAAAAGCTAAGCATTTCAGAAAAACTGAAAGGGTCTGTCAAATGAGGAGTGACAATCTTGGACTGGATATTGCAATGGAAGGATGGAATGCTATCTGCTTGCTGGGTCAAGTCAAATCAACAATAAGATGAGGTCAATGGTCCTGACCCAAGCTTCCTCCAACATTGTTTCCATGGAAACAGGAGAAAGGCAAAATTCAGACCTTCACTGGAGGGAAAAGGCTTGAAATCTATGTGGCACACCAAACCAAACACCAAGGGCCTCCAAATCCTTTACCTACTGTCTGGAGGACGCCTCCTGTGCTGGCGCACACCTTCCGGGACACCAGTGGCAGCAGGGATGCCAGGATTTTAAAATCAGTAACATAGAAGGAATAATCTTCTGTGGGCGTGGAAGCCACTCGGTCAAGCTCCTTCCGGTCTGCGTTTTTGATACCTAAGTGAGGGAGAGAAGAAGGAAGCACCCTGCTCCAGTTCCAGCCTTTCTTTAAACAACTGCTATATTCTTGTGGTACTCAGTCTTTTTCACACTGGGAACAACTCTCAGAACAAACTGGGCTTTGAACACTAAGGCAAGTTTTGTCACTGTTTAAACTGAGATTGAGAAACTGGCACCCTAAAGACATTTTGGATTTCACTCTCATCAATCCCTGGCCAACTTGACCAAAGGGAAGAAATTTGGGAACTTTAATCCAAAACATATGGAGGGCTCCTGAGTGCATAAATCTGATTTCACACTTGTAATTTGGAAAGATACTATAATCCTAGCTCCCTGGAAGGGGACACCTTTTGTATGTATTTCAATCCTCAACATCTCTAGGTAGGGCTGAGAAAGACTCCAGCCTAAAGCCCTGAAGAACTGCTGAGCGTCAGACCAGTTAAGCCCCTGCCAGTTCTGCTCCTAGTTGCTTTTAGTCCAAACAAGCTAAATTTCCATCACAGCAACCTTGGTAGAAAACAATAATAGTTGATCCAAGCTCTCTGGGGAGGTATTTTGTCCTCCCTCAAATAAAACTTGGGCAGTATTGGAAATCTTCTACGATCTTGCTAAGAAAAGTATGCTTCCACACATATATTATACGCAAGCATCTGTAATCTGAAATCCATATTAGGACTATGCTTTTCTTAGGCCACATCAAATGCCAAAAATGCATGTAATTTTCTTGCCCTTTGAGATTTCTTCAGTGGGCAATATATTAAAAAAGAAAGTGGAAAGAGAGAAGACAAGACATGATTAAAGATATTAAAACGATAAAGTCTTCATAATCAGGGTGGTGAGATGGAATATCTTGCTTGATGAAGAAATGCGGAGATTTTGAAATCTTGCACATTTGAGTTGATTTAATAAAAGCATTGGTCTTCTAGAGTTTTTAGCATTTCTCCTGCCAAAATAGTACTTGTGTTTTTTGTGTAACTGAAATTGATATATTCACCTTTCTTTTTGAAGCACATCACTTGCGTTGCTGGGGGAGCCAGGGACTTAACAATTTTTCTTTTCTTTTCTTTTTAGTTTTAAATTCTAATCTGGAAAATATCTCTCTATGCATCAAGAATATTTTAAACAATGCACTAATAAACAAATAATTTCTACAACAATTAGCACTAGTGCTGCATTATAGTTGTGCAACTGAATTCTCAGTTTGCAAGTGCAGACTTCCCTAGGCTTACCTGAGGCATAAGCAAAATCTGTGAGAGGGGAGGATTTCAGGATTAATAAACCTAGAGGGCCCATCCCATGCCTGCAATGTTCCCAATCTCACCTAGCCCTAATCTAGCAAGTAAGAACTGGTATATGCATTTCACGTACCACCCATCCAATGCTTTTTTCTTTCAGCATACAGTCAACAAGAAGGGGAAGGGGAGGTGGTGAGAACTAGTGGCTGATATGGAGGGAGAAAGTCCCATTAAATTTATCCTTATTTGATTTCCGTCCTACAGTGCAGGATCACTCACCCACAGCAAAGACTTTAATGCCTTGATTCTTCAGCTTTAGGGCTGTCTGCTCAACCTCATCCTGAGACTTTCCATCAGTAATGAGGATACAGATCTGAAGAGAAAAGAAAACGTAGTAGTAACTCACACAAATGCTCAAAGAACTCAAGCTCACTTCTTCTTTCTGAAGAACACAACAACTCAATGAGTTTGTATCCTCAGCCTGCCCAGGCACAGCTTGATGCCTGAGGCAGAAATAAAGGTCAGGACTACTTCTGGGTAGTGTCATAAAATGCAACAAATACCCTTACTTCAGAACACCAGTAAGAGTTATTAATTTTGGTACGTTAATGAAATGTAGTGTTTATATGTCTCTTATGGGGCATTTGGCCTACATTAACATGAGGAAGCTAGAATAGGACAGATATTGCTCATACAGCACTTAAACTTCAAAAATGTTGGTCAGCTTACAGGGAGCAACAGGTAATACCTCTGATGAAAAACATAAATTTCTAACATTACAAGAGACCAAAAACGGCTGTCCGAGTTGAGAAAACCTATAAGCTTTTCCCCATGATCCTCTGGCCGTTCCCTTCTCTTTCTGAGGTAGCAGAAGTTCCCACCGTACCTTTGGGACGTTAGGCCGGAGCTGACTGGCCCCAAATAAGTTATCAGCTACATAACGAAGGCCTGCTCCTGTGCGAGTATTCCCACCCTTGAAGGCCATCTCTTGGAGAGCCCTCATCACTTCTGTTCCATTGAGAAAGTCAGAGAATTTGAACTCAATCCTGGGATCAAAACAAAATTAAAGGTAGTTAAGCAGAAGCAAAAGCAGAAACCACACTATTACTTGAGAGTCCATCAGTTGAGAGGCAGTATTTCCCAGGATACTGCTACATAATCTTTTTTTTTTTTTTTTGGTCATCAAATAGTTGTTTTTTTTAAAAAGGTCAATCTCAGTGAGGCTCTTTGGAGCTTTTCAATGTTATAAATAGAATACTTGGCTCCTCTAACAAGTAACAGGCAGTTATGTCATGAATGCAGTTTTGTTTGTCTTTAGAGTGAACATGAATCTCAAGAGTATTCACAAGTGTGTGTGTGTGTGTGTGTATCGGCCCTTTTGTGTCCAGCCTGCAGCTTTTAACAAGTACTCAATGCCCAGCTTCTAATCAACCCTGCAAATAGAGTAAAGAAAGGGGATAAATAGTTTTATTTCTCTTGAGGGCTGCAGGGTGGTTATCATACTTCAGGAATGATTAGAAGTAACTAGAGTTTTAATTACAAATGAAACAACTTAAAAGTTCTTCGGTGTATGACATTTTAGTCTTCCCCAGATCAGTATCCTCCAGGTGCATTGAGCTTCAGTTCCCAGATTGCATGGCACCAGTCACTGAACATCATATTCCCAGCTGCGGCCACCTGGAAGACTCAGAGAACTCTACACACAGGACATGATGGCCAGCTGTTTGACCCCAGCATCTAGTATTTAGTGAAATCATGTCCTGGAATATAGCAGTCCTGCTATAACAGAGCTGTTCTCCAAGAATTTGTCTAAAGTGAGTAATACTAAAAGCAAGTAGACTGGGACTCACCTGGGATCATCACTGTACTGTACAGCTGCATAACGTACCCTGTTAGGACCCACCACATTGATAAAAGGAACAACTAGTCCTTCCATGAAGGATCGGATCATGCGGAAATTTCCCCTGCCAATGCTAGAGGATCCATCCACCAGGAATACAATGTCAGCCAGGTACACATTGGTGCAGATCACTGCAAGGCAACCATCAATTGGTCAGAAGGCTTACCTTCATCACTGGATCTGCTCCACCGTTTATATTGCAAGTCAAAAGAACAGCAGGAGCTGGGCTTGGTCTATACACAGCTATATATGGAGTGAAAGCTCTTATCACAAATCTTTCAGGGAAGGTTTTGTGTATTTCAGGTTCGCATTATATTTTTTACTATCATTTTCAGCCATGCACAAAGGAGGCAGGAACACACTGTCAGTTTAGTCAGGGATCCTTTTTGCTGGGAGTCACTTCAGCTCTTTATACGCATTGCATTTCTTTGGCTTTAACTGATTAGAAAATACCAGCTTGAGTCTTTAGTCCCATAGAGCCCGACTGAACCATTTTTTATTCAAAAAGATCTACACTTTCTTTGTACTTCATACATCAAGTCCATAATCTGACCATTAAAGTGAATATACTATAAAAGAGGTAGAAAAAACCCTGGCTTAGTAACTGGTGTGAGAAAAGACTATTCAGGACCAGGGAATCTGAGCTAAGGGGGGGATTCAGAAGGAGAACTATAATCTGAAAGAGACAGACCACAATAAACTTTTTACCCCCTTCTTTCAAAAGGTGTGTCAGAATCAAAATCAGAGAATGGAACCTTTTATTTCTGAAATGATAGAAGATAAAATTTGTGCACAAATATTCAGCTATGCATTTCTCCCACTGCTAGCTGCAACAGAGAGGTGCAGGCCTGGCTTTAAAACAATCCTGAAATCCCTTTATTAGAGCAAATAAATCAATCCTTAGAACTTCAGTGAAGTTACAGAAGTTCAATTTCCACAAGGAGGAAAAATAAATCAAGTTATGGACTTCTTCCCCTTGTATACCAGCAAGGAGAGGAAATGGATATATATGAATATGAAAAAACACAACGGAAACAAAGATGGGGACTACAGAGAGTTTGCCAAGGGTATTTTATATCCTGATTCAGTTTGGAAGTACAATGAGTTCACAACAAAGCCTCGGCAAAGAAAATGGTTAAAAGGTCACCAATAACAAGGGCCCATTCTCAATTCAGAGCCCTTACACCAGCAATGCATAATTTCTTTTTCTACTGAAATCTCCATTCGTTCAGAGGAAAACTCTTCAGAAGACCACATGCTGGGTACAGCTAAAGCTAGGAGTGAATGGGAACAACTACACTCTTTCTCATGCACCCTTTTTTCTCTCTTCCAAGCAGCAGTTTACAGGGAAGGGAGGGAAAACTTTTATCAGGGCTTTTGAAATTAGGTCCAGGAGTATAGGTCTCCCATCCCTAACTTACCCCAAACTTCCCCTAGGCACAGTCAGAGCAATTATTAGTATTAAACCACAATTTGAACTAGAAAATTTGTTACATTGAGAAAAAATAGCAGTTCTCCTTTCCTCCCACTGCACAGCTGCTACGAAACTATGATTAAGAATCCCTTGCAGGGCAGATATTTTCTGTCAAAAAAAAAAAAAGTTTACACTATAGAGAGGTGCTTTCAAGCACAGAAAGTTGTGAAAGGTAAACCTGGCCATGTTCAACTTCACACACTTGAACTGTCATCCCCCTGTAGTTTCTGGGGGCTTCCAAATGAACTCCAGTACCTAATCATTGGCCTCCTACTACACCGGGTATGCTAGAAGTGAAATTATACCATATGGTGCTCTGGGCGGCTCTTCAACATTTCAAGTGGAGTTTTTACAAACCCTTCTCTCCAAGGTCTTTCTAACAGAGGAACAGGTTCACCCTAGCTTTCCTGATCTTCCTGCTACAATTCCTATCCCTTCTCTAGCCAACATGATGGTTAAACTGAGTACAAAGAGCAGAAGTTGGAGTTCTAATCTATAAGGCTGCCATGCAGCCTTAAATTAACCATTACTCACCTCGCTCCCTTTTTTGAGCCATGACTTGTACTGAAGCAAAGACTGTAGCATGGAGTGCCGCGAGGAACAGCATTTCCCCTCTCATTGTGGGAGTCTGAAACAAAGAATAAGAGATGGAACCATGCTCACTTCTTCAGACTGGGAGGCAAGAACTGAATGAGTTTGTCATGAGCAGTATTATCCTAGTCCCCAACACAGGACCACAGACAGGTGGCAAAATGGAAGTTGACAGTCCTTGCTTATTTATTTACTGCCTTTATTAATTCACTGTTTCTCTGGAAGTTCAAATAGACCTCCTCTAATTTTATGACCTTTGGTTAACCATGGCCAGGGAGGTAGTGATGACTGCAAAGACCTTAAGAGTATTCACTGCAGTCCATTTATGAATGGGAAAAATTGGGCAGTACACCCCAGTAAAGAATAGAACATTTAAAAGGCATATACTACCATCAGTTATACACCAGCCTTTTCCAAATCAGTAGCCTTCAGAAGTTTAGGACTGCAACCTCCATCAGCTCCAGCCAGCATGCCCCAAAAATTTCAGGAATTATAGAAATTATAATGCAAAATTTTTGGGAGACATGAAGTTGAGGAAGGCTGCTGTGGTCTTTAGTAACTTGCTAATGGAAGAAAGGAGGTGGCTTCAAGACCAAAATTGTGAAAGAAGGATGAAGATACTGGGAAATTCTCAAACATGAGAATTTGGTTTTCATTTGCCCATTGAGGAGGAACAATCAAGCTATTAATCCACATGCATTTATAAATTGGTTGCACCTGTTTTTCACATTAATCCTGTTTAAGCCACACAAATATTGATATTTAAATAAATATATTTTATTAGAAATATACAGGCCTAAATATACTTCATTCAAAATTGCCCACTTTAAAATGCATTGGTTAGCTGAGAACTGCATTGCAAAATCCAGACAAGGCTGAAATCCATTGAAGAATGATAAAAGTATCTTCCGTTCCATGCATTAATCTTGCAGGTGCATATCAGATCAGTTCATTGTGGAATTTTCAATGTTTGAATTCTTAAAGCATGTATACCTCTTCATTCATTATTCACATAAGTACATACCTACATGTGCACATAATAAATGATACTTGATCCTTTTGGAGTAATTAAATTGGAAGCTCCAGATACAACAGTTTGTAAACCCAGCTATGGTGGTTGTCTTTACATTCAGCACTAAATCATGTGATTTCTTGGGTTAGGCTTAACATGTGTGTGACCCCGGCCATTGTGGTTAATAAACCATGGCTTATGGCTCAGCATAATGTGCAAATCAGGTCACTAATAAGCTTATTGAATAAACCACTGTTAACTTGCTGACAACTTTCTCCAGAAAGGGAGGGAGGGAACAGGAGGTTAAACTATCTTTCAGTTGGTATTATACAAGAGGGAAACCTTAGCTGACAAAACAGAATACCCATGGTTAAACAAATCATTGTTTAGCATAATGGATGAACCCAGAACCATCACTTATACAAGCCTTTATTATGGGTCAAACCAAATGATTAAGTGAGAGAGGAAGAAATCCACCCTACTGGAAACAAAAAGCTTCCCCTAATCATCTAGACACTTAGTGGTTAGCTCATCCCTGCCTACATATTTTCCCTCTGTAATGATCTCCTTATTTAAAAAAACAAACAATTTTTTCCCTTTTTAAAAAAAAAGAAATTATGCAAAAATCTTGGCTTGGTTTCATCTATTTCTCAATAAACAATGCATTCCATTGAAAGGGAAACTTTTGAAACTTCTCAAAATAAGTAGCGCAAGTGATTTAAATATATACTGTACAGACACATAAATATTCATCCTTCTTATGATTTAAGTCCAGACTCTACCTGGATTTTTCATGTGTCATTATCTCTCAACCTGAAATAACAGAAATAATAATAAACTACCTTATTGGGTTAATCCACTAGACAAATAACTAATAATGAGACAGTAACAGCACCAACACTTGTTGGTGACCATTTTTAAAAGTCTGACCAAATCAACCTTATTTGATCTTGATCAATGAGACTAAATCCAAACATGTGTACCTGGAAGGATCAGACAAAAGTTTGCTTTTCCACCCCTTCCTTTCTAACCAGCTCTCCTAAATCCTGGTGGGGGTCAAAGGCCCCTTCTGTAAAAGGGCTGCAGCATGGTGGAAAGAGAAAGGAGAATCTCAGAAACACCTCTGCTGTACTAACAGACAATGCCTCCTTCCTATTGTCATTTTTTTCCCCCTTCAGTCCTGTATGCAACAGTCGACTTCATACGACAATAGAACTATCATAAAGCAAACAGTTTAGATAATCTTATTCTGGCAGATGGAATGGGCCAGGTAGCAATAAAAACATTAATTATCTTAAGTTTATTTTACAGATCCTAAACTAGTCCAATTAACACTACCACTTCATCCACAGAAACCAGAAATGCAAGTCAGGTGACCACTTGTGGTAAGGTAACCATTCTCATACTTCTAATTAGTAGTAGAGGCAGTGTGGTGAAAGCTATTCCTTTGGTGTGAGCTTTGACTTCAGACAACCATATTTCCATGCAGCTGCTCTGGCTATGCAAGCAGCTTTTATACACAGAAACAGGCTGCACTGAGTAACTCAGATGGGAAAGTAGAAAGAACACAGTTAGCTGGATCATGCCTGTAACCACTCTACCCCTAAGGAAGCATGGGTGAAACATGACAGAAGGGAATGATGAATATACCTGGGGGTGAAATGGTTAGGAAGAAATTTAATCCACTAAAAGGCCACTGCTGGAATGGCTAATTTAGAGTGCAGTAGTAATGCACCATTACTTTCATAATGTAAATGTCCTAGCTACTTAGATCTTTACATCATCTGCCTTCTAGAGTTTGCCCTGTCTCTTCATAGCACGCAGCTCCTTGGGTTACATCAAGGAATTCACAGGAAAGGGCATTTTGGATCATGTCAAGAACATTCTCTCCTTCTTACTATTCTAGAGCAATATCAGGGTTTTAACAGGAGTGACAGAGTTGGTAGCACAATGTGTGGATCAGGTCTTTAAATGTATCTGTACATTTTCTCATATACTACTATTAGCTTAGGGGAAACAGAGAAATCTGCACTGAGTAATTGACCAAACAGCAAATGGTAACATGTCTGCAGCCTGCAGGTGTTCCCCCCCAAGTATCCCTAGATTATGCCACTGAAAGATCGAATGGCTTTTACCCCCTTAAAAAAAAGGGTGGAAACCAGAGTAGAATACCTCTGATAGGTGAAGTTCCCCAATTTCCACTTTTTAATCTCTCCAAATCCTCCCCCAAACCTGAATTTGTGCCACAGTGCTTATTGTACTAGCTTATAAATGCAATACTTACTGCATGCATGCAACACTTGCTTGGCCAGATAATTGGGTATGCAGTATATACTTCATGCATGTAAGATATCTTGCACTTGAGTTGGGGACTTCAGTGGAAATAATTATGCACATGTGCAGAGAAAAGATACAAGTTCACAAATTGTGTAGGATCCAAAGAACAAATGCAGTTGTTGGAGGAAAACTATTGTGTCTCCCCTACATTCATGTCCTATTTGTTCACACTTCATAATAAAAGAAAAATAAGGAAACCACATTATACTTTAATGCTAAGTATGAACCAGCCATGTCTTACAGGCAGCATAATTAGGAACAGGTAGAGGGACCTGAGACCTTGCTGAAAGCAATTCAAAACAACATGGTCTATGATGCCAAGGCTGAATTCACACAATATGCTAAGCCATGGTCTAATTAATCATAGCTTGTTGACCAAATCATAATTGCTTGTGTTCATGCACCACATATCAGCCTGTAAACTGCAGACTGTAAATCAAGTTTGAGTTCACTGTTCTTGTTTATGGAGCTTTCCTCAAGAACTGTTGGTCCTGGGCTCTTTTTGGTCCTGAGGAAAGTACAATTTCTCTGTGCCCCCAAGTTACCTCATTCAGTTGTTATCCTGGTGAACTCCAGCCAAGCTACTCCCCACCCTGCAGCTATGGGGAGGGAGATAGTTCAGTGGTTGAGCACATGCAGATACTCCAAAAATATTTATAAAATGGAGGGCCCCCCAAGGTATCTCTGTTGCACAAGGTATTTGACTTTATCTACCCTAATTTTTAAATATCCATCCCATCTTTCAAAAGTCCCTGCTTCTTCCTCAGTTATGATGGGACCACCTATTACTTTATTGCCTTTTAAACTGTTAGCAAAATCAGCCTGTAAAAACAAAAGCGTAGCACACATATATCCAGATTGATCATCTGGACCAGTAATTTGGATCAGGGAAGCAGGCATTTGAATCGATACACAGTTATAACCCTCACTAGGTAACCTGGCCAGATCTTCATCTCCATCCAATCTACCACACAGGACTGTTGTGAAGTTATTTTCTGCCACCCTCAGTTTGTTCATTTAAGAAAAATGTGATTCTGGGCAAGTAATCTTTTTCAATGAATGCTTCTCTCCTAGTTGAGCAGTCTGTGGCAGTGGTCCTTAATCTAGAGTTGGCTGATGTTTTTGCACTACAACTCCCAACAGTCCACATGCTGTTTAGGGTGATGGGGGTTCCAACAACTTTAGAGGGGGACAAAGACTGAGAATCAAGCGTCTATGTTGAGCTTCTTTGAACTGTCAAAGAGCTGATTTTAAGGAAGTGAGCCCCCAAAGAACTGAAGGAAGAGGACAGCCATACTGTTCATGGAAAGCAACTGAGCATGGCCCACGGCTACCAATGTGCCAGGGGCTGCTGCGGAGGTCCCAGAAGCAGGGCAACCCTCCAGGAGAGGACTTCCAGATGAGAACATGCATACAAAGGAAAGCTGACTTCTGAGCGATTAACAAGTGGAAACAAGAGCTAGAAGCAGCCCAAGAGAGGAGGAGGAGAAATACAGGGCTTGGTTAGAACTTGTCAAGGCATCACCTGGTAAGACTTTTCTTTCAGCACCAAGGCACAAAATGTGAAGTGTCTCTGAGCATGTGCAAAGTAATGTTTCCTCCCCACTGAACATAGCTCCACACATACAGGATTTTAGGGCCATGGTGCAGATGTTACTCTTGCCTACTCAGAGGTCTGTCCCTTGAAGCTTACTGGCCGAGACGCACTCTTTCGCTAGCCAAGGCGTTTGGGCTACAATCCCAGCGAATTTGTGAGCTCAGCGAATTCCGCGCTCCTGGCTTTCGAGTAAAGCGCGGCTGGAAGGGGGGGAAGCGCTCGCGAGGTCAGCTGCAACTCGGCTCCCCTCCGCACGGCTCGCGCGCCTTCCCTCGGGGGAGAAGGACCGTGCCCTGCCGGCCGCGCAGACCCGAGGCGGGGGGGATGAGCGCGCCGGCGACCCCCTCGGCATCGCATCGCTTGAAGCCAAGGGAAGCGGCGGCGGGGCTGCCTACCTCACAGGGAGTGCCCTTCTTTCACCACTGAAGATTAGTGATAGTTCCCCGGGAGTAAGCGGGAGTTACCTGCTGCTGCCGCTGCCCGCGCGCATACTCTGCAGAAGACCTCGGGACTCTGCCTGCCTGTTTCTCTTGTTCAGCGGGAGCCCCCCTGAACGTCTCCCGCGCTGCTCATCAGAGAAGGAGCCGACCGCCTCCGAAGAGCAGCCGAGAGAAGACCAAGAGGGGCGAATCCCGCGACACCGCTGCCAAGGGTGAGAAGAGGGGAGGGGGCGTTGTCTGTATACGCGACTCGCCCCTCCTCCCTCGCTGCGCCTGCTGCCGCTCTTCGCTACTTTGCAGAAAATGGGCGGCGGAGGGAGTGGCGGTGGGCTGCGCCTCCAGCCCAGCCCCTGCAGCCCAGCCCCTGCACCAGGCAACGGCCTTCTCAGGTACTTTTCTCACGTCCCGGAAGGGTAGGAGTAGCGCTGAGGAGGCCATACCTAATTCTGCGTGGTCTTAGTGTTGTTTAGGGAGGGGTTTTCTTTTAAAGTGCCCGCCCTTTCCTTTCTGTCCCTCATAGGACAAGCCAAAAGGAGAAGAAACACACCCCTTTGTAGAAAGGGCTACTGTTTATACGGGCCGAGCGCCGCTGGCACAGTCCCTGAAAACAGCCATCAGCGCTTCAAAGTGAACGTGTCTCTTGGACTTGGCTGAGAGTTCGCCGTCGGACCAGTCTGGTTTTCTGTGCAAAAGTTGCTACTTCTCACTCTTTCTTTGAGTGGGAAATTAGGGGATGGGATAACCAACTTTGGACAAGATATCCATTTTTGGAAATTCATTTGGAGCATAAAAAAAATGTAATGCCAACCTTTTGACATTACAGAATTTCTCACAGTGTATTTCCCTTAATCCTTAGTAACCAACATGCAAAAGCATAATGTGAAATGAAAAGATTTTGCTCCCATTTTGATTCCTGAAACTTTGCCCACTTTTCCTCTGGGAGTAGTTCAAACAAAATAATGACCAGTAGAATAATGATACAATTAAGGCACATAATTAAATTCCTAAAATACATTAACACAACCATCATGACAAACAACCTCAGAAAACAATGGAAAGGTGGACAGGAACACTGAAAGTAAAAACTTACTAGAAAATAGAAAAAAGAAATCTTCAGGTAACTGCAGAACCCTAATAAAGAGCCTGGATGAAAGAGTAAAGCTCTTAGGTAACATTAGGAGACCCACAGGCTTTTTAGGGCAAGATTCTGGGAATTAGGAGCATCTCTCCTCTCATCCCAGTTTTTTTTTTGAGTCCCCTCAAACCAGTGGTGAAGTTTTTCAAGGCATTCCTGAGCAGAAATGGGTTTTTTAATATATTTTTGCTCAGTTGAACGTTCTGGAGAACACTGTGCAATCTCTTCAACATGAAAAGGTAAAGACACCATGGAGATGATCTTGTCTCTTCCTGGTGCCTACACAGACACTTCCAGGCAGTTATCTTGGCAACAGTATTGGTGTTTTGGACTGACATCTTCCATGATGCTTCAACTTCCCAGTGGAGCCTACAAGCCCATTATTCCTGTTATCCCCCATCCAAGTACTAACCAAGGCTAGCTCTGCCTGGTTTTCAAGTCCCCCAAAAGGCCACCACCTTTATTTATTTTAAAGGAATTGATTTTTTTCCTAAAAGAACAGTGCACATTCCCCCTATCTCTCCCATTTATGAGCTTCAATTCTACTGGCATTCATCTAAATACATAGTTCCAGGAAATCTGGAACCTGTTTCTGAAGTCACACAGAAAGAAAAATAAATTTTTACACTATTTCATCTGAAATAATTACTGTCTCCTTATTCAATGCACATAATCACTATTGTGCATGGGGGGGGGGGAACCTCCTTTACTTAATAATCATGGCCAATTAAAGATGTGCACCACTCACAAAATTTGTCTTGAATTTAGGAATTCAGAAGATAGCCCAATTCAATTTGGGGTCATAGCCAAGGTGAGGTTTCTAAATCTGAAGTTTCACATCTCCCATTGCATCATAGGAAAACCACAAAATAGCTATAACTTGTTTACTTTTTAATGAATTGGACAGACTTTGCAGATATAGTAGAACTTTATTAAGAGATGAATCTATATTTCAGAAAATAGGTTTTGGTGCTAGGTTCCTTTTGATTTTTTTTTAAATAAGTCCCTATATTGTTTCCTTTTTTGACAGAAATAAGTTATACTTGCTGTTGTAATTATCAGCTTATTTTATTCTGTGCTGATAATGTTTGATAATGCATAGACAGATGTAGAGGTGATTTTATGCAAGGAGAGAGTTAGCTTTGTGGTGATAAAATAAAGTTTAACTTTTCTATCATTTCTATCATTTCAGTGAGCAATTTCTATAAAAAGAGCATAGAGATTAAGCTTGGTGAGAATCCCACCAGTTCAGTGGGCTATGAAAATTTATTCTGACACTGGCAGAAAATAGGGCTACTGTATCTATTAAGAAAACTTGAAGGATCAGGTTGGGGACAGATCTTCCTGGAGAAAATCTCTCTATGTGGTTGCTAAGAGCCAACACCAACGACGTACATGATCATCAATGATATCCGCTAAAGTTTGATCAAAACAAAGAGATACAAAAAATGTTAACTCTTTTCTTCTGTGTAAAGGCCACCCTTATTTTTTGAAGCCCAGAAGCAGAGAACTCTGAACAACTTGCTTCCAGCATATGTGCACCCACACACACACGCACACTTCCCTGTGGCTAGTGGCCTGGACTCATGTAGCTGTATTTTTATATTAAGTTAAAGTCGTGGCTTGTTTTAATCACGGCTTGTTCAGATAGAAAAATAAGAGGAAGTCTTATAAACAAACTATATTTATTTATAAACTAAATTAGCTTTAACCAATTCCTAATCCATTTCCCTCCTTTTCAGCTGCTTTTGTGTAGATCTCTGGAATTGATTAGAAGTTTGATCAGGGTAGGAAAACAAATAAGGAATCATCTAGCAATCACAAACTAGCTGTGTAAAATGATTATGTGGACAAGGCTGGGATTTTTCTTTTCTCCATTTGTTACACTATGTTCTTATTTGCATTGTGCTTGCAAATGGTGAGAAACTGCACCATATATTTGCAATGGCATAGTCAGAGAGGGCTCTGATGGACTGCAAAAAAAAAAAAGGATTGGAGGTTAAAAGCTGGAGGTTGATCACTGCCTGCTGCTTTGAGGCTAAATTGGGAGGGGAAAATTAAACATAGTTTTAAGAGAATGAATAATAATGTGGGTTCTTAAAGCCAGAAAAATGTATTATGGCACAGGATTTTTTGACTGCCCACTTTATCAGACATATGCAATGTAGAGGCAGAAAATCAGGAGTCTGGTAGTTGTTGTTGTTTAGTCGTTAAGTCGTGTCCGACTCTTCGTGACCCCATGAACCATAT